AATAAATTTATATGCAGAATGTTGGTGATGTAAGAGGAAACCAAACAACAAGTGACTTTAGTGAATAAGATGGATGCATGCTTTTGCTAAAGAAAAAAAAGGTGAGGTTAATAGGAAAAGGCACATACATATAAAGGGATGTAAATAGAAGGTGGGCGAGAACAGTCGTTTCTTCTGAAATTTTTAAATTTTTAAATTCTTTTATTTTTAATTTTTTTATGTGTATTTTTTTATTAATAATCTATTTTTATTCTCCTAAAATTTTATAAATTTGTTCCTCTCTAAAAATTTATAAATTCATTCCTTAATATAAAATCATGTGTCCGTCTCTATACAGGTACATATGGGAAAAGGGATATTAATTGAGGTATATTGTTTGGTTAAATACAAAATTTTTGGCTTTTCTATATGGCACAATCACATGGGGTTGTAACAAGTGATGATTGAGCTTTGAGAGACCTAACCTTTTCTTCTAGTGGTGGAATTAATTTGGGGCCTAGAAGAAAATATTTCAAAAGTTGATGTAGCATGTCATAATAAACTATACATTCATATATCTCATTATATCATAATCTTGTTTTGAAACGATAATATAAAGTTTTAGCGACTTATTTTATGTTGTTATCGAAATATTTTATATTATATAAATTTTGATATTATGATATAATTTTGAATATATGTTGTCTCAATAGTTAAAGGGGAGTATTGTTCTCTTTTGAAGTCTTAGGTTTAATCAGCTGTATTTGTAGTATATGTGCGTTCTCAATAGTTAAGAGAAATCATAAACATATACTATCTTATAATCATCATAAACTATTCATATATATATATATATATATATATATATTCGTATTAATTCTTCGTGTATAACATCCAAAGAAGTTTGAAAATTAATTTAACATTCGATAAAAAAAAGGGTAAACTACATCCACGGCTACTTAACTATTAGTTAGATCATGTTTTATCTTTCGGCTGTTTGATTAATTGAATTATTTTGGTCATTGTGTTACTAACTTCTAACAGAAGGATGACATGATTCCTAAAAAAATTAATAAATCCTTCCTTTTATTTTCCATGGGCAAAATAATTTCTTGATTTATTTTTTTAAATTATTCACTGGTATCTGATCTATTGACCGATTAATCCATATTGAGTACTGCACCCGACCCGACCCGATAGCAAGAGTCTCCACCCGATACCCGACCCGACCAAAACAAGTTTTCACCCGACCCGAATATATGACATAGAAACCCGACCCGACCCGACCCGAAATAATAAAAAAATATTTTATTCAATAAAAAAAGTGACTTAATTGAAAAAATATATATACAAAGGAGTATTATTGTAATTATCTCTAAATATATAGGGTAAAATTATTTTTTTTTTGGGTCGGATCGGATTTTTTTTCACCCTAAACCCGAACCCGACCCGAATACCACATAAAAAAACCCGACCCGAACCCGATTTTTTTAAAAAAAATCCGACCCGATCGGGTCGGGTCGGAACCCGTCAGGTCGGGTTAAAATGGCCATCCCTAGGTATTTATCACAGTGCCACATCATTAAAGGAATTAAAGAAATTAAAGGATTAATATGAATTAAAAAATTAGGAATCAAAATAAAAAATATCAAATTCAAATATTAAAATTTTATTTTATTTTTTCATTTTAATTGATTATTTTAATTATTAAAATAAAAACTCAAGTTAAATCATATCGATTTGAATTAAAAGTGGATTCATTCAACCATGGACGGGCTAGATCGAGCTCATGGAACAGAAACAAACGTAAAATTTTATATTAAAGAAAAAAATTTATAAAATCTTAAAAATAAAAATAAATTATTAATAAAAGTATAAAAAAATATCTAAAACATATGATAATTAAAATTTTTTAAAGGGGCTATTGCCTACACCTACCGATCCATCCTTACTACCTAATAGCTAGGTTATAATACTAAATTCTCGAAGGAAAGAGATAGAGAAAATTAGGGTGGGTGGCATTGACGGAACCACGTGGAGGCGGAAAAGGGTATTGCCCATTCTAACTTTTTATGGTTTAATTTTATTTTAAGCCCTTAAAAGTTTTGAAACCATTAAAATTAAGTCCTAGCCCTCCTTAAATTTTCTGGTTTAATTATTTTTTAAGATATTATCAGTTTTAAAGTTACATGAAATTAAGTCTTGTATCTAACTTTTTGATTTAATTACTTTTTAGGATGTGACAAATTTGAAATGAGTGAAATTAAGTCACAATCCTCTATTTTTGTGATTTAATTACCTTTTAGAACCTTATTAGTTTCAAAAATAAGCAACTTAGTCCCTCTCATAATTTCATCCTAGTTCTGTTCTTGGTGGGTGGTCCAACTAAAAGATGAATTTCTAATGTAAGATGACAAATAAACTATATAAAAAAACCCAAAAATAAAAAAGAGGGGAAATTATAGGGCTAGGAGATATTGGATCATGTGAAGTGTGGAGGCCGTTGTTGGCTTTAAAGTGTGGGGTAAGGTGTATATATATATGTATATATATAGGACCATGTGTCACGAGGAGGAAGATGGTTGCATTGGCTATATACACACACCAATGGTGCGACCAATGTGGTGGGAAAAAGAAAGATGGTGTGCCCAAAAGTCCTACAATCCCATGCGTCACGGTTTGGGGTTTTGATCGGATGCTCGAATCTTTTGCTTTTACGAACTTTCAAGTTGCTGCTTGCTTCTTCGACATTCCTCCGGATTTCTGCTTTCTGCATCAGCCATAAATCCAAACCTTCAATTTCATTCACATTTGATTTAGGGTTTAGGTTTAAAGAGAAAGCTTGAGGTTGCACTCTTTATGGTTGAAATTAGGAGGAAAAACATGCGAGTACGTGACGTGTTACGTATAATTATCTCATTTAATTGTACGGGTGAAATTCGATTATGTGTCTAGAAGACAGAATGGAATGACGGATCACTTAGCTAAAGAAGGGATGTGTAGGCGTGAGCTATTTAAAACATGGTGGTAAGGGGTCTTCTTTAGCACAGGTCCGGTGTGTAATTGCGAAATGCTGAAAACCTATATGTACTGTTCAACAGTCGCTTTTGTAGGTGATTGCCCGTATAATCCGTTGTTGAGACGTAGCATCTACCTAATGTGTTGTATTCTTTCCTCCAAGTATGTGGAAGTTCTTAACGAGTCACGCAACTTAGGTTTGGGTTTACATATTTAAATCCTTAATAAAATCAGAATTGTCGAGAAAAGAAAATTATTCCGTTCAAACTATTACTAACCTAAATGATAGTTATTAGATTTAAATTCGAATATCAGAATTAGTAATTGAAATGCTTTTATTAGGAGGAAAATAATTAATGACAAAATTATACTTTGGAGGCCAATAGTAAAGTGAAGTCCCAAAGCAGAAGAACTCTCCAATCCCCCACAAAAGTAGAGAGAATCCTCCCATTTTTGGTCCCACCTAAATGTACCCCATTTTATACAAGCCACTCACAAATTTTGGAAAAATAACATTAATCCTTTACAAATTCTTTCATGCCATCACCCTTCCTAAAATTCCATTTCCATAAATAACAATACTAGGGCTACTTAATTCACCAACAAAATGTTGGACTAGTGTTAAGGCATGTTTATAATAGAATTTGAGTCTAAATTTTAGAGATACCGTTATCGATAATAATCGTTAAGAACTCTAATCATGGATCATAAAACAAATGTACACTTAAGAAAATATATTTGCAGAGTCGGAGAATGTATAGAGAGCGAAAGAGACTCTTGTCCTTCTCAAAAATTTTGATCTAATAGTATTTTAAGTTTATATCAATTTAAATTTAAGTTAAATTAGGTTTTTGTCCTCTTAAAATTTTGAAATTAAATATTAAATGAGTCCCTATTATTTTGAAGTTAGATAATTTGACCCTCCCAAAGTTTTTGGTCTAATAGTATTTTAGGTTCTTATCAATCTAAACTTAAGTCAAAATAAGGTTTTGAGCCCTCCGATTTTTTAGATTAAATACTTAACGAATCCGTATTATTTAAAACTTTTGGCTCAATCATATCAATTTAAAATTTCATTATCTATTTTAAAAGACAAAAACTTTAAAAGATTATATATATATATATAATTTAGACTTCATAATTTTATCTATTTTAATTCTAAACCCTAAATTCTAAATTCATCTTTTAAACCTAAATCCTAAATTTTGTAAATGACATTCGACTAGACAAAGTCGTGAAGTCTAAATTTTACATAGCATGTACATAAAAAAGATTTCCTTTATGTATCAAATTTTTTTATCTTTCATATGTTTTATTGTTTGTATTTATCGTTTTTGAGTGTTTCTTCTAATAATATCGTCTTTAAATTTCGAATTTAGGTCTTCTCTTTAAAGATGTAATATGTTTTATCACTATATTGAACATTTTCGGTATATATATATGTATCGATTTTGTTTTAAGGAAAACCAACTACTTTTATCATTTATTCATGTTGCATACAATAACCATGGGAGGCTTAGCTATATATATATATATATATATAAACTTCGGGGTTCTTTCTCTGATTCCCTGCTGCAAACTCCCTGGATTCCAGATTATATTTATATAGCTCGACAATCCGTAGTGTATACGAATTACTTGATAGTTACGCCCACAATTATATATATATATATAATAGTATGACACACTTTGTATAAATATACAAAATCATTTTCGTTTAGGTTTCTCTAGAACTATTAGTCTCACTCACGTCCAATACAATTTTTTCCCAACAAGAAAACAAATTCAAAGACAAAGATTCCCCATGGTGGGGTTGATTTAAAGGACCAAACCCAAAAAGAAACAAGGATTCCCTTCAATCTTGTTTATGCCCACATCCATGGTACAATATTTTCGTGTCCCTGTCCCTCAATGCCTAGCCTTTTTCTTCTCTCTCTCTCTCTCTCTATCATGTCCCTCAACTCAAGGACTCACCTATATATATATATATATATATATGTACATATACCCTAAAATCCCTATATCTCTCCCCTAAGAAGCATTTGTTAGGTAAACAAAAGATGTCCGGTGTTTGGGTTTTCAAGAACGGTGTGGTTCGTTTAGTCGAGAACCCTGGTGCTGAGCCGTTGGACGGTAACCGACAGGGTTCGAGCAGTAGTGCCCGTCGCAAGGTGCTCGTGCATGTTCCCACCAACGAAGTGATCACTTCCTACGAGGATCTCGAACTTAAGTTGTTGTCACTCGGTTGGGAGAGGTACTATGACGACCCTGATCTCCTTCAGTTCCATAAACGATCCACTGTTCATTTGATCTCTCTTCCCAAGGATTTTAACAGATTCAAGTCCATTCACATGTACGACATCGTCGTTAAAAACCGGAACATGTTCGAAGTTAGGGATATGTAAAACCTAGTGTTGCGCTGGCTGCAGCATGCACTGTCCTCCTTTGTTTTTTTTACCATTATGGAATATGATTTATGTTTGTGTGTATTTATATATACATATGATTGCCGTCACCTTTGAATTTTTAAAATAACGATTGCAGCATCATGTTACGGATGCGATCTTAAGAAGTTGTGGTGGGTTTGAGCTATTAGGATTTAAGAAATTAGAGTGATTATTTTGCTTTTGTCATCCTTGTAATAAGAAATGGTGCTTTCCCTTGTGTGCTATGAATGAACGATGATGTTTCTTCTACTTCCTTGTCGAGAGAGTCGTTGTGTAAATTCACAAAATCGAAATATGAACATTAGATATTGTATTTTCTGGATGTTTATATATGATTTTATCCTTAGTCTTCATAAACAAAACACACAAGATATCTCAAAGAGTCTAAATATATAAAATTATGAACATTAAAGAGTTTGTGTAACAAAGAGATCATTAAGAATTTTATATATTTAGACTCTCCAAGGCGTCTAATATATATAAAAAATTTAAAATTATCATACGAATTCAAAATACCAAGATATTAACGTCAACCACAATGTTATCAAATTTATAGAGCCCCTACCTATATATATATATATATATGAGTTAAGAATTTAGGGACCACAATTGGTGAAGCAAGGGAGCATTTGTGTTACCATTTTGACAAACAAATGAGATATGTATGCACGTGTCTGGAAACTAACTTGACTCTTTCTCTATATATATATATATAATTATTTTTTTTAGTTTTACACATATTTCAGATCGTTGGATGAGTGAAAATAGAATATTGAGATTAACTCCTTATTTTTTTTTTTCCAATGAATATCTTCTTATTTATTACTGTGTATTTCAACTGTCTGTTTTCGCTCATCCAATAGTTTTAAATTTGTGTAAAATCAAAAAGTTTTACACTGTATAACATGATCATATATATGAGTCTAATGGACCAATGGCAATGTTTCTTTTTTCCCTTTTCATTTATTCCCCAATTATTTATTAGCGACCCTCCTATATTTCAAAATTGCACGCCACGTCTATTTATTGTTTTCGAGTACATAAGCCCTACTCTGCATTTTACATATCGTGTTAGTGGAAAAGAGAAAAAAATTCAAATTCGAATCTGAAATTTAAATTTTATAAAAGAAATTGGATCAAAATGGTTATTTTACAATCTCACAGTTATGACGGTCCAAGCCCAAATTTACACTTCACTAGAGATGTTTGTTTAATGAGAAAGAAGTGGAAAATTTGAATGATGAACCCATAAAAGAGGGTAACGGAGAAGACAAAGTTGTTCCTTTTGGTCAGAGGATGTGCTCAGATATGGATATGTGTTCATATCCCTGTTCTCATGTATAGATACGCATCGACTCGTATATGAAAAAGAAAAAAAATGAAGAGTCGGAATAACATTCTTATTCTAGTATGTTGTCATTTTCTTCATGGATGAACAAACATCTTGTTGATAGAATTATAATGGTTCAGTTCATTAGTCGATTTTTAAACGAACTTCCGGTTATTACGTAGTATTCTGATTTTAAAACGAAGCAAAACGAAATCGGATTTAAGCTTATATACAAGTTGAAACGAAAACATATTGTGATTCAAGACTGCTAGATCTACTACTGCTATTTGCAATGCGGAGAAAAATAGTACATAAGCTTCACAAATAGGTTGATGCTTTCGAAGTTCGATGATTCGTTCCAAGAATAATCACGATAACGGTAGCATCGTCATGGTATCTCCTCCTCCTACCAGCCGGAATGTTCAACAACTCTTCCTTACTGAAACCTATGATAGTAATAACAGCAACATAAAAAAGCGAATAAAGGAAAGACATGGATGATTTATGTTCATTGTTCAAATGTACTGCAGAACGAGCTGCTTTGATCACCAGCTGTTCCACGAGAAATTTTGCGGGGTCTCCAGATGGGGTGCTCGAGATGTAGGAATGGACGAGCTTTACAGCTTCTTCATTGTTGAAGAAGTCAAATAAACCATCGCTGCCTATTATAACAAAGTGATCGAATCTGATATTTTGTGCACGTTTAGTGATGGTTCAGTGGAGATATAAGGGGGACTAATGAGGTTTCGAAACTCGAAGAATCCCCATCAGAGCATCGTTCAGTTTCTTCTGCAAAACATCGGTTTCATGTTAATATGCAGTGAAAGTCGATCTTCAAAACGGGGGAAATATAAAGAACGAAAACTATAAGTGATGATGAGAATAACCAGAACCGACCTTTTTCAAGTAACCGACTCCGAAAGCACGGGTGACCTTCAATTTTCCTTTCACTTTTCCAGCTACTACAGGTGTACAGTCATCGGGATGCTCATTCAAGAGTCTAGTTCTTTCAACTTCGTTATCAACGGTGTGACTATCTGTGAGCTGAATAGCTTTCAATCTTTCGGACTGACCCATGCTGTTGCCTTCATCAAATGTCGCCAATACAGCTCGACTGTCACCTAAATTGAGTGTATACAAATCTTTTCCGTGAAGAAGCGTAAACAAAACACAAGATCCTACAGAAACTAAATCGGGGCGGTCCTCCATTTCCTGCTCTACCATGTGCAAGAAATCATTCTCGGCTTGAATTAGAGCTCGTTGGAGGATATCAAGCACCCGATGCCTAAACGAATGAGATGACGCTTTCATTTCAGGATCCACGCTTTTCCTCGTGAAGCTTCCGGCACTTGCAGCCTCAATACCTGCCATACTATCATCAAGAGAACATTCAAATGGTGCTCTGGGAACATCCTTCTTTGATTCTGAGTCTAGTAAATTAAAGTAAAACATTATGGTTTCATATAACGTCCCGGCAAGAAAATCTGCAGCATCCCTCCCGTTGAAGCCATCATAGATGGCACAAAAGAGCCATCATTCTCTTCGGAACAGACAGCTTGAACCCTATCTTCACCCGCAGCTCCACCCGCCACTTGAACTTCCACAGCATTAAGGAAACTGTCACTTCTAGTGAGAGCACTCATGGGCTGCCGTAAACAAGAATCAGTTTCATGTGAATCAACCGAACTCGGTGGACTGCAACTTAAGTTTGACATAGTGCTTTGCAGGGAAGTCGATAATAGATCCAACCTCGAAAGAGATGGGGAAGAAGGAACCCTGCGAAACGAATTAGGGGAGTCCAAACCAGGAAGAATATCATATCCTATCAGACCATTGCAGATATTGGTGTTGGCCAAGGTAGCATTAGCACTTAAGGCAGCACCAGACAAACACGAGAAACTGCGGTTCCTCAGCATTTTACGTCCAGACTCGATTCCATACCTATTACCAGTCCCGCAAGGAATACCTTCGTGACCGTTGCATTGATAGCCAAAACTCACCTTAATCTCCGCTTCAGAATCAGTACAATTGTCTCCTAGCATTGTAGACTGAAACATACCATATATCTCCATTATGTAAATTTTACATGTATGAAAAAGTCCACTAATTTATACAAATTTCAGAAAGTCCATGATATTATATTAACAAGATAAAGTCCACAAATGTAGTGTAATTCTCAAAAGGGACCTCAAAACTTCAAAGGTTAACAAACATTAACTCATCAATCAAACTCTTTTTGTTGCTAAAACTAACCTATTATAAATTCTTCTTCATGACATTATGAATCTTAATTCTACAATAGACCAAATCTGAATCATGTGATAGCAATATATGTATGTTACAACTAGCTCGAACCCCTCGCCATAAGCACTCACTGGAAACCCTCATGATAGCCCACCTCATTAACCTCCGAGTCTTATCTCAAACAACTAGGTCTACCTTACTTAAGAGACCTCAGGCAAATTATAGCACCACTCTAGCTAAACCCATAGGATCAGCCCACTTGCCTCCGACTCTCCGATAATAAGGTGGCTGGCGTCATAGCCGGAAAAGGGAAACTCCTTGTAGAGGTTGAAGCTTTGAGGAGAGAGGCTAGGTTATTCACTCATGCTCACCCTCCTCTTCTAAAAGGTCATCCTCTTTCTCCAACTCCCTCAGCCCACTGTATCCGACGGCTATGCCTGTCTTAACGAGGTGAACCGTCCATCTCTGCCATAATCCCATCCTATTATCAACACACACCCCAGATATTATATGTGATATAGATTTCCAGACACTAATGAGTACTAAAGACTACCCAAGTCAAAACATTCCAGTGAACTTAAAACTTGAGGTTGGACTACCAAAGCTACATCATAAGTCACTTGATTATGCAAGAATTCTCAACTCAACCAATTCAATAAACACTAAAAGAAAAGAAAAACAAAATGTATTGACAATAATCAACTAAACAAAAGGGTACAAGCAAAAACAAACTTGACAATAAAAACAAAGATTTTCCAAGTAAAACAGAGCAAAGAAAGAAAACCCACCTCAGTTTCAGTATCCACAAGAGAAGAACAAGGTCAGAGAAAGCAAAAATGACCATAAGATTTCAACTGTGAGTGGTAATGCAGGAAGAGGATAGTGAAAGGTGTGAACTTTGGGCAAAGCAAAGAAGGAAAAAATAAAGGAGCTTGAGGGTTTAGGAGATAAAAAGAGAGCTTTTTAATGGAGAATCTGAAGCAATGAAGAGTGTGCAATGCGTTGGTTTGGGGAAATGAATTGGATGGCTGGGAAAGAAATGGGTGTCTGCTAAATTTGGAGGAATCTCATTTTGGTCCTTCTGTTTTCCTCTGTCAGATGCACTGTTACCGGTAGTGCCGTTTCTCAGAGTCCCATTTCAACTCTAGTGCTGTCATTTTCTTACTGTTTTTTTTATATATAAAGTACACTATAATGATAAATTTTCATAAATTTAATTATTTTATAATATATGTTCATTTTGTAAATTAATAAATTTAATGATTATTTATATATTTAAAGTTTATTAATTAAAAATCATTGACCATCTTTCAGTGCCTCTTAGATCAATCTGTAGTTGATCTTGATCATTTTCTATTTCTTTTATGGTAAAATTATTGTGTAACTCCTTGTTTTTTAGTAAAGATTTCATTTTGATCCCTACATTGTACACTCTTTAGATTGTGGCTAGGAAGACTAGGAAAATATTCATTTTTACAATAGATAAATGGTAGTTTTATAAGATGAGATTAATTAAGTGATTTTGTTATACTTTTGTTAATGATCTCTAGAAATTATTAAGTTCCAATTAGATACGACCTTTATAAATTTTTAGTTTTCCGTCTATCAAGATTTTTTTTAAAATCTA